GGGCTGGATTCGAACCCGCCGCCTTAGGTGTATGTGGCTGGCGCCTTAGCCGCTTGTGCCACAGGCGCCGAGCCTTAATGCAGTCTTAATAGCTTTTGATAGCCTCCTTGCTATCTAATATCACAAGAAGATACAGGCACATCTTGAGCATTTCTTATATATGTTCTGGAGCCAGACATTTTTCTGAGGAGTATTGATTCCTTTTAATGGGAAAGGATATTTAGGGATCATAATCTGGGCACTTGGGGTGCTCATTACTCTTAGCTTAGTTTTTTTTTTTTTTTAGATTGTTTTACTTGGGTAGAGCCAAGAAATACACACATACATATTCATGTATATATTATATATGTGTGAAATATGTATATTTTCAAATGAAATATGTCATGGATTTATACCAGTATTTCAAATTTAGGTTCAAGATTGCAAGGTTTTACTTAATTCATTGATCTTACATCTGAATCTCTTCTTCCCTACCCCAAGTCCAATGTTGTTAAACAGTTATTAATAGAAAAATGGACCTTCCCTGTGTGGCTGCTTGCATGGATATCCCTTGGTCCAGGAAAAAAACAATCTTTCCACCCACAGCAACTAAAGACTTGAAGCAATGGCTGTTTTCCTAAGAAAGCTGCTTAGTTTATCTTCATTTTATAATTATTCAGCGTTACAAGGGAGGGCTGGTCATGGTGACTCACACCTGTAATCCTAGCACTCTGGGAGGCTGAGGTAGGTGGATTGCCTGAGTTCACAGGTTCGAGACCAGCTTGAAGCAGAGTGAGTCCTTATTTCTGAACTTAGCTGGGCCTTGTGGCAGGCACCTGTAGTCCCAGTTACTTGGGAGGCTAACGCAAGAGAATCACTTAAATCCAAGAGTTTGAGGTTGCTGTGAGCTGTGACACCATGGCACCCTACCCAGGGCAACAAAGTGACTCTGTCTCAAACAAACAGACAAATAAAAACCTTACAAGGGGGTTAGCAGGATAATAAAAGCACTTTTGATTTACAGTCTTCTTGGCTTTTATGGTTATCAGACCATAACTCCACTGTAAGTCTAGAAACATCTTATATTCTGGTACATAGCATTAAATCAAATGTGTGTCTTTTGGAAATAGTTCTATAGCAAAAGAACCTTTTCTTGTTCCCATTGTTCAGAGTATCTGAGTGAATTATTTGTCATTTATCAGCAATGTTTATCTGCTTCTTCTCTGTTATTTTGTTCACGTACATCATGATCCCAAATTATTTTTCTGTGATTTCTTTTCTTTTCTTTCTTTCTTTTTTTTTTTTTTTAGAGACAGGGTCTCACTCTTGTTACCTGGGCTGAAATGCAGTAGCATCATCATAGCTCTCTGCAACCTCAAACTCCTAGGCTCAAGTGATCTTCCTGCCTCAGCCTTCCAGGTAGCCAGCACACCCAGCTAAAGGTTTTTGGCAGAGACTAGGTCTCCTTGTATATTGCTCAGGCTAGTCTCCAATTCCTGGGCGCAGGCATTCCTCCACCTTGGCCTCTCAAAGTGGCTAGGATTTATAAGCATGAACCACCACACCTGGCCTGTTTTTCTATAACTTGCTCTCAATTAGCTTGACATTTGAAATATTAGTCTGTTGTTACAGATTTGTTAATTTCACAATGTGTTTGCTCATCCAGGTTAATTTATAATATCACGATATGTAGCTAATAATTAACATTTATTTGGTAGTTACTAAGATCAGCTGCTGTTCTCGGTGCTTTGCATGTATTCATTTACAAAGACTGCCCTATGAGTAAGTACCATTGTAATATATATTTAACAAATGAGAAAACTGAAGCACAAAGGTTAAGCAACTGACACAAATTACAGAGTAACAGCTGATATTCAGATTCAATGCAGTCTGGCTTCAGACCTTTCATCCTGAATCTTTTTTTTTTTTTTTTTGCAGTTTTTGGTCGGGGCTGGGTTTGAACCCGTGACCTCCTGTATATGAGGCCGGCACCCTACTTCTTTGAGCCACAGGTGCCGCCCCATCTTAAATATCTTTATTGCTTTTAAATGTTTTTGTTTTTTATTTTTGAGGTAGAGTCTCTCTCTGTTGCCCCAAGTTAAGCTTAATTGCATCATCGTAGCTCACTGCAATCTCAAACTGCTGGCCTTAAGCCGTCCTGCGGCCTCGGCCTCAGGAGTAACTGGGACTATAGGCGTGCACCATGATACTCACCTAATCTGTTATATTTTTGGTAGAGACAAGGTCTCACACTTGCTCAAATTCCTGGCCTTCTCCTTGGCCTCCCAGAGTGCTAGGATTATAGGCATAAGGTACCATGCCTGGTCACTTTTCAGTTTTTATTAAGTATGTCTTATCAGATATTGTTCAAGGTATTCTTTTAAAAAAATGTTTTTTTTTTT